CAATTATGTCCTTATAGTCTTATAACGGGATACATAATGAATGTCATTATAACGGGAGTAAATTTATATTTATAAAATGTGTTTTTGAAAAAATGTCACTATAACGAGCTGTCCTTATAACGGGAGTGACCTGTACTATAATTAGAAATTTAGGGTGGGGTGTTTAGATATGAAATTTGATTGGTTAATTTGAATTTCAAATACGCGAATTGCAAATTCATTTTTCAAGTAATATACTGGTGGTGGTGTGATACAAATATACTTATAAACTTCACTTTGATAGATACGCTTGTGTGCATATTTATTAAATGTGCTATATATTCGAATATATATAGATTAGCCTGTTTATTTTTTTCATGTGTATGATGAGAATTAAAAGCAATAATTTACGAGTTATAGTTTGTTAAACCATTAATATATTTCTTTTGCACTATAAGTAAAAACAAAAAATTATCATCAATATCATTACAATCATCATCATTACTATATAATAGAATTCATGACACCTACTATTGTTATATTTGGAACCAATATCATTTTTTTTTACAATATGCTTGAGATATGGTACACATTCTAATTGCCATGTTTTGTTATTCTTAACTTTGTAAAATGAAGCACATATATATCTTAATAAAATCCATAAATATATAAAATGTATATATAAAAGATGATTGATTAATTTACCTTTAGGTGCATTTTCATTTTTATAAGTCGCGTTTAATATTTCTTGATATTCTAGATGTTTTTGACGTTGAATCCCAAATGTATCAAAATATGGAGATTTTTTAAATCCTGAATAAGTGGGGTTTGGTGGTACTTACTGGATATGTGCAAAATGTAAGCTTCTTGTTGCATACAAAGTAGCACATGGCTTTAAAGTTTGAGAAATCTTAATAAAGAAATGAACAAGAATATTATATTATATAATTAATTGTATAAATAATATATAAATGCACGCATACGGAAAGATATATTGTGTGTCAAATTCAAATCTGTGCCAATTTTAAATCGACATGATCAGAATTTCGCATCCAAACACCCCACCCAAAATTTTAATTATAAATTTATATTTAACAGATATGATTTTGACTCATAACATATATAGACCATTACTAACCGTAATGTCGCCACATCCAATCAAAAAATCTGATCTACTTAACCTTTCAGCTGCAAATGCTATCTCTGATATATTACCATAATGATTTATATAATTATTTTGCAATAAATCAAGGTAGAAATCATGACTAATGTCAAAATTATCCAAAGAATCCTACAAGCAATTTTTTTAAATAAAGTAAGTTTATTATAATGATAGAATATAAAATTACGGAAGGTTTGATAATATATATATTTTACTTCAGGCATTATTTTAATAGGATGTCGATCAGGCATTTCATCAGGGGCAACTTCCTTTCCAATTAACTCTTTAAGTTTGATACTCGTTTCATTAAAAACATTAGGTTCAGCCCCTATATATTTTCAATACAAATAATTAATCAAAAGTGATAATAATAATAATTTTTTTAAAAAAATCAGGCACTTACTAAAATTATATAATGCATTTTTAACAACAGTGTATTTATCTGTTAAATTATCACGAGATAAATGTTTAACGTTGTGTCGCTAATAATAATGAATGATGATGATTTTTGGTGAATATTTTATGCTTTACCTTCAAATCAAGCATAGAAACAAAATTTTGGTTACTATTATTATTAAAAAATACCTACATCAACTTTGATGGGGAAGCAACATTATTTGTATTAGGAGTTTTTACTTTTTTTGGCGGTCTTAGATCACTAATTGATGATGTTGCATTTATTTCTTCCATTACTTCTTCAGGTACGTGGATTAGGAATGATTTTAAAAGCCTGATCGCTTGTCTAAGATCATCATTTGATCTTTTTTCAATTGATGGAATTAATTGGAATAATTTTGATCTTTTTTTGTTTGTCATTTCCATATTTTTTATTGACGTATTTTTGAAGAGCATTTATCATCAAGTATGTTGCTATGGCAGGAAACCTAAAAATATAAAAATAATTTAATTATAGACATTGAATGTAATTCCAAATTAAATCATCACATACTTTATGTGTTTGCATCTTTCTGAATTAACAATATTTGATGTAAAAATATTTTTGTTGTTAATCTCATCTTTTCTTGCATAATCATTGTTAGCATCATTCACATCTGTGATCATGAAGGTTGTGGGATATTTTGCCGTTTTATCATTTAAATATGCATACATTATTTCATTAAAACCTTTATTTGTTTTATCATCCAAAAAAGCAGACAAATCATCAAAAAATATTATTTGTTGAGTGCATCCATTTTTAAGGCCTCGAGGTTCCATCCTTTTACTGTAGTATTGAAGGAAAGTCGAAAGCCCATTAAAAAGTGACTCATATATATACTATTTTTTTTTTAAATATGGATTTAAATTTAAAATGTAAAATTACAAAAAAAGAAACTTTAAAAATTGAATTCATTCATTACCATCATTATCTTGAAAATCACTCCAATAGACAATGTGGTACTTGCGTTGATTGCATATGTATTTTAATGTTGAAGTCTTGCAAGCGCCAGTTGGACCACTTATTATTAACAAGCGAATCTATTTATATTTTTTAATAATTAATTTAAATCATGAATTATCATTATTATTATAATAAAATTTTACCTGATTATCATTAAAGATTTCAACGAGTGCCCGATCCAAGTTATTAGCATGGTATGCTGAAACTGGATCTTGCACTTTTTCATTATTAGATTCAGTTACGTATCTCGACATTATAATTACATTTCATAACTGATATATAGTTGTGATTTGTGTCACTGAAAAATCTTACCATATCAATAAATTTCGTTTTATAACAAAGTCTGACTTAACTAGAGACTCAAGCTTGTATGAAGGTTGTGATAACTTTTAAAGTAAGCAGATAGGTGAAATTCTTAGGTCTCTAAAGGTGGTTTAGACTACAGCTTTTGAGAGATGATGGTTTATATTAATCAAGTAATATTTATTTTCATACAACATTATTTAACAATAATTAAATTAATAAGAAAATAATTATCACCTTGACATAATAGGCTCTTCTTGGCAAAGTGGAAGTAACGAATTGGTCCTCATACTGCAAGTTAGCATTTCTGTTAGTGCCGATGATTTAACACGTATGGCTTAACTTTGGGTTGCTCTTGTCAGTTAATTGCAATAATTCGGCACTTGTCGATTAATTAGTTTATTGATTTACTTTAGTTTTGCTTATTGCCTTTTTCTGGTACCTAGAAGGCCTTCGAATCTGTAAGCACATTCAATGGTAGTAATTGAATAAAGATGACTCTTTTACAAAACTCAAAGATTTCTTTTATTCACTTGTGACCGATTTATCTCGGTCATTTACCCTTGTTTTGTTATTGTTTACAAAGCAACTTGAGTAACAATTGTAATGATACTGCCAGTATTTCCAATTAACCTTTGCCTACCCACTAAAGCAAATTACGTTATGAATCGTTGTCAACACTAACTAGTTAGCCAACGTCACTCCTAACCTTTGTTCACTAATTAAAGCAAATAAAACGTGACCTTCTTACCAGAGCTCACAATTTTTACCTTTTTACCAAAGTGCTTTAAACAAAAAAGTAAAAAACAACGGTTTTATTTTAAAAAGTTTAATTTATTTAATGTAACATTTGTTTTTTCGAACGAGGACCCGAAGTTGTTCGTTAAGTTGGTTGAAATTTATAAATTTTGGGGTGGGATGTTTGGATACAGGCTAATTGAACTTCTCGTGTGCAGAATTCAAATCCACGCGCAACAAAATATAGAAAATGCATAGATTTAAAAATTTTTTTTATATGATGCGATTGCCTGCAATTAAACATTGTTAGTGCAGCATGCTAAAAACATTTATAAATTCCAATTTGATGAAGACATGTATTAAAAAAGTGATGAATATACGGATGAATTTTAACAATTTGTAAAAGTTTATGCAAGAATTACACATCTTTATAAATTTTTATTTTCTTCTATTATTTCCATAATAAATTGTGATCATCACATAATAATATATCAATTCATCAATGAATTTCTTTGCACTACAAGTAAATAAAATTTATTCAATTTACGTAGCTACGGCACAGAAGGTATTAAAGATTTTAATGTCTTGTTCACTTCTTATAAATTACATATAACCATTGATGCTGGTTGGACAATCCTGCTCTGGATAGTACATGATGTTTTTCCACCTAATCACACACGCTTGGATGAATTTGCATTAACTTGCAATTCCAATTAATTGATATATTAGATGGCGACAAGCTGACCAAATTGGAGAAAAGTCTCTTCTTCCAGCACTTTTTAATAAAGGGCGATTAGTTCTTACAGCTGTTCCATAATTGATAATAGCTTGCAGATAATAAAATCTCTATTATGCAATTTTTATAGCATTAAACCCAACAAGTATATCTATGGTAATAATATTAAATTTTCCTACCTGTTCATACTCTATTTGATAAATTGGATCCTGTTGTTCTTTGGCCCATGCTATGTATCCTTCAATTGATGGATTAGAATGACTTTTTACATAAGTTCCAGAGACATTGCTTGACGATATATGTTACAGACAGAACCCAGAGCTTTATGATGATCATAGCATTTTTTAAAATAAGCAAGCTGATTATCATTGACATGATCTCTTTTTCAATAGAGTAGAAGTATCAACATCTAAACCCGAGAGAATTTGGTAAAATTGTTAGCAAGTATAATTTGATTATAATGCACTTCACATATAGATTAGGAATCTAAAGAAGCATAAAGGGTTGTTGCTTTTAGTATTCCCGTCACTATACATATTAATATGCGCTGATTTTGTTTGAACCCCAAAATCCAGTACGGTATGATCATAACGTTATGAATACTTTATACTAGCAAAAATAATTTTTTAGCGGAGCAAATAAATTTTTTGGAGGTTAATTATCATTCTATTGACGTGTTTAACGTCGAGACACAATAAGATATAAGGTTTGAAAAAAAGATCCAAAAAACCAAATCGGCTGATATGAGTAGTAGAATTGTAAAAAAAAATTAATTTCCACAATTTATGTAAAATTTTTTTGATTGTTTGGCTCTTATTTACTTTTGAAGTCTTGGGGATCATTAATAAATATATTATTTTAAAAAAATTTTTTTTTGTAAAGGAAACGTGACGGATTTACAGCGAAACGAGCCAATTAAAATTACGTAGATCATCCAGAATCGATTTCTTTTTGTATGTCGTTTTCGATTTTTTCAAGCACCTCAACAAAGACTTGAATTAGAATTTAATTCTTGCTTTATGATTACATGTTAGCCTTCTAAACGCGAAGTTGTTTTGACACCAGCTGACATTATTTGACTTTTCCAACTATGCCACTTATTTCTAATATTGTCTATTTAAATAATTGCCCACATTACTATTAAAGTTTTTTTTGTATCAAATGAAGTAATTGATGGAATTTAAAATCTTTAATAAATTCATTACAAATTTGTTTGTAATTTGAGCTTTATGTTCCTGTTGAGATTTTGATAAATATGATACAGACATAAAAAGTGATGTATTCTGAAATTGTTGTTCTATGCCTGATTCGAATAATAATAATTCGAATAAATTAAGATATGCACATTGCTAATCCACATTTAAAAATTTTTTCTTTATTATTACAATCGATTTTTCCTTAGTCCTTGTAATAATAATAGCTGAGATTTTTCTTTTCTTAAGTCATAGTACTAGTATTAGTGATATAGATTATGAATATAATTATTGTAATTTACACTATCTTGTTAAAGAAATAAGACCTATGTTTTATAAAACGAGTAATTCGAATAAAAGTGGATAAGCGAATAATTCGAATAAAACGATATTGATATAAAACGAATAAAACGAATAAAACGGATAATTTGAATAAATTTTTTAGAATAAAATTAATAATTATAATAAATTAATGATATATAATAAATTAATGATAATAAATAATAATAATAATAATAAATAATAAATAATAATGAATTCGAATAATAATAATAATTATAATAATAATAATAATAATAATAATAATAATAATAAATAATTAATATTAATGAATTCGAAAAAATAAGATATGCACATTGCTAATCAATTAAAATTTTTTTTCTTTATCAATATTTCCTTTTCTTAAGTCATATAGTACTAGCAACCATAGTAATTTATTTTATAAAACGAGTAATTCGAAAAAAACGACGGATAAAACGAATAGAATAAAACGAACAATTCAAATTAAGAACTGTATTGTATTACAAATAGAAACCCTCCTAACCTTCGGAAATTTCTAAATTTTGCATTATCTAATGATCAACATTATTCATTATTTAAACTTGTATGTTTTATATGTGGTTACTACACCATTGTATTTATGCTAGTTTTTCAATTGGGCAGGATTCATCTAAAAAAACTCGATTTAGTCTTCTGGTGTTATTATCAGCATAGAAACTAACAAACCATTCTGGATTAATGTTGGATAAAATTATCAGTATCCCTTATTGAGTTTTTAAAGTCTCAGATTTCTTTATCCACCGATTTGTATGAATCGATTTCTTTTTGAATAATTTGATAATTATGTGTATGTTTTGATTTTAGTTATACGAGTTACTTGAGTCTTTGAATTTCTAATATTTTCTTTCCATGGACAATCTTTTTTTTGGATTGCTTATCATGTTGATTTAAAAGATCAAAATTATCTCTTTGTTTTCCAGAATGAATGTACCTAAGATAGACACCATATTCTCTAGAGAATTCAATGCTTGCACTGAATCCTTGTTCATTTGCATGGTTTTTAACATCTGCTATTGCAAGATCAAACGAATCCTAAAGATAATTCTATTACATCAGAAATATCTTGAATTGTTTCAAACTAGCAACTACTCATTGTCATTCAATTAAATGTTCAAAATTATCATCTTTATAACCATCTTCATAATCATCAATTTCTATTGTTTCATCAATTTTCATTGTCAATTTCTAGTTTTTCACTGTTCATCCCATGATTTATTTTTCAATGTAATTTAAGATTGTTATTTCATCATCTAAAATTTCGCATTGACGAGGAATTTCGTCAATACAATAGATTTCATTTTGAAAGAGATTCCATAAAATTCAATAGTCTGTCTGTTAATCAATTGGAGCTTTATAATAAATATAAAGAATCACCAAAGTAAACTTTCTTGGTATCTAAATCTAGTTTTACAACTTCCCAATGATTATTGCCTGTATAAATTTTCCTGATAAATTACCTAACAAATTATATGCGAGCCATCATTTAAAATGACTGTATAAATATATTGGAGCAAAAATTAAAATTTTCATTGTTGTCATCTTTGAATACTTTAAATATTTTTTCAATCACCATATCCTTTATGTAATTCTGATTTTCCAATCTGAAAAATTCAAATCCTCTCTTAAATTATTATATCGGTGCTTTATAATTTTTCTTTCGACTTGTTTGACCCCTCTTCATTTTACTTTGATTAAATTTATGAAATGAATTCGAAACAACATCGCCATATGCAAGTTTAATATTTTGTTTAAATCACAAAATTTTGCTATTCCAAAGAATAAATGCTTGATTTCTTTTTTTCTCTCTTTTTTTCATTAATATTATCATTTATTTGATCAATTAGCTTTCTAATGTATCCCAAAGATGGAATTACCAAGATATTTTTAATCACTTCCTTTATTGTCAATTCTTTTTTAGAATTGTTTGAAAACATTTTTAAAATCCTAAATATAATAATAACATTAGTAAAACGTACAAGTAACATTAAAAGTTATTTACTTACACATGATTGTTAGCTAATGCAATTCTTTCTTCGTTATTATCTTTAATGATGATTTCATTTTTGAAAGAAACTGTTTGATTTTCAATATGAATATTGAAAATTTAAAAAGAGTATATTTATATAAATATATAAAAAGGCAAAATAAAATAAACTTTTGGCTTAATTGAATATTTTAATGAAATAGAAAAAGATTATTTTTAATAAAGAATTGATCCCAACTGAATATTTTGATAGTAATAGAAGAGAAAGAAAAAAAGACGGTTTTTAATAGTGAATTGATTCCAATTGAATATTTTGATAAAAAAAAGAGGAAAAAAATTGATTTTAAATAGAGAATTAAATATTTTGTTGGAAGAGAAAGAAATTATTAGAAAAGGAAATTTTCAATTTAATTTAATTGAATAATTTTATTATATAGAAGAGAAAATAAATTGTTTTTTTTTAACTGATATTATAACTAAAACCGATTTTTCTTTAACAAGATAAATTTAATGACTTTTATCAGAAAAGAGATTCAATTCAACTTCAATTGGTTTCAATTTTCATTATTACCATTCAATTAAAACAGTTTTCCTTTGATGGGATTAATTTGATGGTTTCTATTAAAACAGACCTTCAAAAAAGTCACTTCAATTATTCGACGACGTGAATTTCAATTTTCACGTTTTATATAGATTTTTTCTAAATTAATTTTTACATCAAGCATAAAAACACAAACATAGTTGAACGCACACATAAACAAGGATTTTTATTTTACAAACAACAACAACAACAATAATAATAATCGTAATAAATTTTTTTCTTATTACGATAAATATTTTCCTAAGACTGCTTTTGGTGCTCCTCCAAAACTCTCCTCACTACCCTCACACTTGGTAAATAAATGAAAAAAGGATGTTTTTAAAAATATTTAATTTATTCGTTCTATTCGTTCTATTCGTTTTATTCGTTTTATTCGAATAGAAACTTGTTGTCATGGAATAATCGTTTATTTATGTGACACAGTGATTTACCATAAAATAATTATACTAAAAATAAAAATTGCATTAAACACTTGCTTTAGTTTTAAAAGTTTATAATATAGAACATGATGATCTTTCTAAAGAAGGGAATATACTATATAATAAATCTATACGAAATTTTCAAAATCTATCTAGTCTACCAATTTTGCTCCTACAGTTA